TTCCACCCAGTTGANACTTCCAGTGTTGGGGCATTCACAACTTCTGGAGGCAACTTCTGTTCCACGGGTTAATTGTTCTCACTGTCAGGAAATTTCTCCTTAGTTCTAAGTTGCTTCTCTTCTTGATTAGTTTCCACCCATTGCTTCTTGTCCTGCCTTCTGGTGCTTTGGAGAATAGACTGAACCCCCTCTTTTTTGGGGCAACTCCTCAAATATTGGAAGACTGCTATCGCGTCTCCCCAAGTCCTTCTTTTTGTTTTTTCCTAAATTAGTCCTGAATAAAAATTATTCAATAATAAAAATTATTTTCACTATAAGGAAATTCCTCCTTAGTTCGAAATTGTTTCTCTCCTTGATTAGTTTCCACCCATTGCTTCTTGTCCTACCCTCACGTGCACCAATGGCCCAAGAGCACTTTGTAAGCTCACCTTTCTCCAATTCCAGATTGAATTTAAAACAACCGAGGGGGTTAAATTCTGAGGGTTTTGTGGGCCCTGCTTTCCCGTGGCCCCAACTGACGCAGCCGGGATGAACAATGGCCATTCACCATCTCCCTGGCACGTCATTAATTTTTTTACAGAAATGCGTACGGTTGTATACTTAGCGCTCTGGCCCTTGTCCAAATCAACGTTCAATGGGAAGAGACGTCACTAAGAACGGTCGACATTTCCCCAACAATAAAGAATGAATAATAATAATAATCTCGGTGTTGGGAGTCTATCGGTACCATGCAACATTCCCATCGCAGCGTCCCTGAGATAGAAAACGATTAAGACTTTTTTCCCCCTGCTCTTGACTTGGGATAGGAGACATATTGAATGAATCATGCCGAGATGCAGGCACCAGCCAAGATGTATTTGAAGAGCAGACGGCTCGGCGACAGGCATCTTAATGACCCCTTATCTTAATCTTGTTTAAAAGCACCTCGGGGGTTTTCTGAGTAATCTTTTCACTTTATAATATTCTCCTTTACGGGGTATGTGTGCTTCTCCAGGCAGCTACCAAATTGGGAGTAAAATGTTTTTATTGCTCGGGTTAATTTATGCCACTGTGCCCATCGGTAAGGCGCGCAAGGGATCAGTGATCATATTTTTAAAAATGGTCACCATTAGAGCTCGCATCGATGGGCTGGCTTAAATCGGGAGACTGAATCGCTCTTTGGATGCCAACGGATGTTACAAGAGGCCACTCTTTTGAAGGAGTAGTAAAAGGATAGGAGATAAAATGGCTGATTTGGAGAACCCCCCGTCTCTTTTGGGAAAAAGAAAGGAAGTTGATGTATATATCCGTTTAGGCATAGACAAAGAGACCTTTACGTAATGAATAGAATAGAGTAGGGTAGGATAGGATAGGATAGGAGCCATGGTGGCACAATGGTTAGGATGCAGTATTGCAGGCTACTTCTGCTGCCAACTGCCAGCAGTTCGATCCTGACGGGCTTAAGGTTGATTCGGCCTTCCATCCTTCCAAGGTCAGTAAAATGAGGACCCAGATAGGAGCAATAGGCTGACTCTGTAAAACCGCTTGGAGAGGGCTGGAAAACACTGTGAAGTGGTATATAAGTCTAAGTGCTAGTGCTATAGATTAAGGGAATAGGGGAGTGGAGTGGGGAGAGGAGAAGAGTTGGAAGCGACCTTGGAGGTCTTCTAGTCGAACCCCCTGCTCAGGCAGGAAACCCTATACCAGTGATGGCGAACCTTTTTTGGCTCGCGTATCAAAAGCAGGGGGGAGGGGGGAGAGCACAGGGGGGGTCGTACACAGGCATGCCACACACATAATGCAATGTGCATGACTCCAGTGCGCATCACCAGCGCTCCCCCCCATTTTTGGCTTTATGGGAGCCCGGGGAGGGCAAAAACAGCCTTCCCTGCCCGCCCACCCCCCCCTCCNTGTGTGTGTGTGTGTGTGTGTGTGTGTGTGTGTGTGTGTGTGTGTGTATGGAGCAGGGAATTGGAGGTTGTAAGGCTTGAGGCAAGAGATATATAATAAACAGGATGAAAAAAAAATTAGATGAAAAAATAACTAAAAATAAACTAGTGGTTACAGTGGTCTGGTAGTTAAGGCACTAGGCTGGAAACAAGGAGTTCTAGTCCTGCCTTAGGCATGACACCCAGCTGGAGGACTTTGGCCAATCACCAGGAGACAATGAGTTCAAGTCCCACTTAGGCATGAAAGCCGGCTAGGTGACTTTGGACCAAACACCAGGAGATGGTGAGTTCTAGTCCTATCTTAGGCATGAAACCAGTTGGGCGACTTTGAGCCAATCATCAGGAGCTGGTGAATTGTAGTCCTGCCTTAGGCATGACACCCAGCTGGATGACTTTATGCCAATCATCAGGAGATGGTGAGTTCTAGTCCTGCCTTAGGCATGAAAGCCAATTGGGTGACTTGAAGTGAATCATCATGAGACAGGGGATTCTAGTCCTCTCTTAGCTTGAAAACCGGCCGGGTATCCCTGAGCCAATCACCAGGAGCCCCTGAATTCTAGTCCCACCTTAGTCATGAAAGCTGGCTGGGTGACTTTTAGCCAATTATCACGAGACCGGGAATTCTAGTCCCATCTTAGCCGGGTGCCCTTGGGCCAATCATAAAGAGACTCTGAGTTCTAGTCCCACCTTAGTCATGAAAGCTGGCTGGGTGACTTTAGACCAGTCCAACCCATCTCACAAGATTTTTGGTCTAAGGAAAATAGGAGAAGGAAGGAGCATTGTGTATGTTTGTTACCTTGAGCTACTTATAAAATAATAAAAGCAGGATAAAAATCTACTTAAAAACAAAACAAAACAATAACCTATAAAATCGTAGATATTGCCGAAAATAATTGTGCAAGTCTAACAGCCTTCGCTCTAAAATTCTCTTTTTGTTACAGATGTTTAATTTTCTGGACCCAAATAATCTGTTTTTCGGTTTCTTGTCCCAAAGGTGCTTTTTTTTCAAGAGACAACTGGATTGTCTGATTTTTCTTTGAAGATGTTTTGCTTCTCATCCAAGACGTTTCTTCAGCTCTGACTGGATGGTGCGGAATGGAAGGATTTATATTCCTTGCAGACAGAACTGGTCACTTGCATCCATTTAGAGCAGGGATTCCCAATCTTTTCTATACTCCGTACCCCTAGAACGCTTCTGGTATATTTTCGCACCCCTTACAAAAGTAAATAATTATACACATGTAATTATGCATATACACTATAATTTTGAAACTTCTAAACACACATTTTCGCATCCCCTGAACTATCGTCCCACACCCCCAGGGGCTCTGAACAACCCCAGTTGGGAACCCCTGTTTTAGAGCGTTGTTGAGGCCACTTGGAGGTTTATCCGTGTCCTCAGGGTCACCTAAGTGGTGCTCCTGGTTCCTGTAGCCTGCAATTCTTTCCTCTGGAAATCCAATCCTACTCCCACAACCATTCAAAGGCTGTTCATCCCGAATTGCATAGCTAAAAGTCTGTCTTGAGATTCTCAGTCATCCAAGCCACAGTTGTCCCAAAGGTGCTTTTTCTGGAGGCAATGGGACTTTCTTGTTTTTTGTTTTGAAGACATTTCACTTCTCAAACAAGAAGCTTCTTCAACTCTGACTGGATGGTAGGGTGTTCTGACCCCCCCCCCTCTGTCCGGTGATTAACGCCGACACAGGCTTACTGTTAGCCACGCTTTATTCACAGCAATTACTCACAGGCAAGACGTTGGCAGCAACCCAGACTCCCACAGATAAGAGATACAATACACACAAGAGTTTCTCTAGCTTGGTATGAACGGTTGTGTCCTGCAAAAGGTCTCCTCCCAAAGTCTCTTCTTATATACTCTCTTGGGAGGAGCCAAGCCACAACCACCTGGGCTTGATTATCTCTTTATGAGTCTGTCTCTGTAACTGCAGCCTCCGTTTCTCCACCCTCCGTTCCCTGGCATCAGGGACAAACTCCCTTTGCTCTTCACCACTGCTCAAGTGCCTGACGTCAGGGACAAACTCCCTTTGATCTTCACCATTG